TGTGTGTGTGTGTGTGTGTGTGTGTGTGTGTGTGTGTGTGTGTGTGTTAGCTGTCCTGATCTATCATTCTCTATCTCGTTCTCTGGAAAGCAGATCTCTCACTAACTCTAGAGCTAGACTGGCAGCCAGCAAGCCCCACTGACCCTGCTGTGTCTGTTCCCCAACAGCAATGGGGTTACAGGTGTACATCCTGGCTTCCCTGGCTTTTTACAAACTCAGTTTTCACACTTGAGCAGCTAGCATGCTCACTGAGCCATCTCGCCAATCTCTCTTATTATCATAGTAACTTAGTAAAAGAATTAAGACTTCCATTTACCTCCCCTTCCCTCATTGCTCTTTAATTATACTTGCGTTTCTGTCCTCCACTGAAATTGTTCCTATGAACGTTTGCACTATCCTTCAAATCTAATGGTTAATTTCTATCACTCAGCTCTCAGCAGCATTTGACTGCACACCTTTTTCCTTTGACACAGGGTCTCAAATCTCATGTATGCTGTGCAGCTGCAGGTGGCCTCCATGAACTTCGGATACCCCTGCCTCCACCTGCCATGCCCAGCTGATATGTCGCTAGGGATTTAGGCCAGAGCTTTGTGCATGCTAAGCAAGCACACTACCAACTGAGCTACAACCCTAACCATTCCTTCTTCATTAAATATTAAAAAAAAAAAATCTTGGCTCCTGTGGTCCTAGACTCATCCAGTGTACTACTTGTCTTTTTGGTGGTCCTCTTGGTCTTCTATCTAAAAGGTCAGAGTCCCTATTTTGTCCTCTTTTCTACTCTAAATGTGCTTAACTCCCTTGGTGTTCTCAAAAATACCATCTACATGCTGGGGGCACCTGTGAACTCCTTGGCTCAGGCTCACCTCTCCTCTGAACTTTAGGCTCAACTTCAATTGTCCACCTGACACATTCTTTTGGTCCTATTTGGGATCCCCAAACCTAGCATGTTCCAATTGATCTCTGCTCCCATCAACCACTGCACACACACACACTCACACACACTTTCTTTGTCTGTGATCCCCTCCCCTCCCAATGACCCAACATGCTCACCGTAGATGCTTACTCGCCTGACACTTACACATTCTTACCATGATGTGTTCTCAGCTCAGATCTGTATTGTCACCACACGTATGTTTCATTGCAGCTATGTCCTCATTGAGGTGTGTATTCATATTGAGCTATATTCCATGTAGTTGTACACTTCTATCACAACATACATATTTCCCGGGAGTTAGGAACTTTAGAGCAGTATGTTTACCTTTCTGTGCCCTTGCCATTTGTGCCCCTTTTGCTCCACGTGTCTCAGATTGAATGTGATGTGGTTGTTCCCGCCCCATGTGTAGGAGTACCCCGCTACTGCCTGCCTGAGGAGTTATATGTCCCAGATATCATGAGATGGCTTTTACCAACTGATGACAAAGGTCAAGGGATGGGTCCCTTTATTGGACACTCAAGGTGAAAAATCTCCTTGAAGCTATATCTTAAGGGTCTAGAGTGCTCAGTGCTTCTTTTCTGTTTCTTAGCAGGGAGGACGTCTCATCACCTAGTGATGCAGAGTCCAGAGGCCTGGATGTAAGGACTAAGGACCTTGGAAAGATGGGGTTCCTGAAATAAATTAAGGGATATCCAGAGTACTCAGAAAGGCATGTGTTAGAACAAATGACAAGAGGAGGCACAGAGACCCAGGAAGACCCCGAGAGCAAGCAAGAGCCAGGGGTCTCAGAGACACACGCAAGAGCAAGGGATACAAACAGGCATGGACACAGAGAGGTCTGGAGATCAAATTACAGAGGACTCAGCAGGGCAAGGGAAACATGAGAAATGTCTGGGGACAGAGAGGAACCATAGAGTATGCAGACAGGAAGCAGGTGACACTGAGAAGCAGACAGGTAGAGGTGGGAGAAAGGCCTGGGCGATGAGAGATAAGGTTGAAAATATACATCTGAGGAGATGAGGGAGTGCTAAGCGGAGGTGAAGGTACAAAGGAACAAAACGTAGGACATGGTAATGAAAGTGATAGGGCTATGTCAGAGAAGAGAGGCACAAGCAAAAGAGACAGACGGGAAGGCAGACATGGGGAACCCGGGGCAGTCTCTCACCGCTGAAGGCATAGGTGGCGCCACGGTGGTCAGACATCAATGCAGATAAGGCAGGATCTGGGCTACAACGTAGATGCATAGGATGGGTGCTATTCCCATGAGCAGTTGCATTTCTGTGTCTACCATGGCCTGGAAGAGAAACAGGTGGTGCGAACACACACACACACACACACACACACACACACACACACACACACACGGTGAGGGGAGCTGGGGTCAGAGTAGGATCTGAAGCTGAAGACATGGCTACTGTTAGCAGGAATGTGGGCTCCCCTGTTTGAGGGATGGGTGGAATCACACCTAAGATGTTAGAGTACAGAGTTCAGTTGGGGGATGAGCATACGAGGCCAGCACGCTCAGCCAACACGAATAAATTCCAGAAGGTCCTAGGGGCTGGGCTTTCTTACCTCTGCCAGGGCAGGACATGAAGTAGTCACGGACATCCAGAGGGTACCTGGGAGGCACCACTCCGGTGACAGGGTGGAAGCGCAGGAACTGGTTGCCCTGGAAGCAGTAGTACCGTTCGAGCCACCTCAGAGCTGCAGTGCAGTTTCCAACGGCCGGCCAGGAACGTTCCTTTTTGGTTCTTGTGGCAAAGTCCCAGAACCACTTGCGGTTACCTATAACCAAGAAATCAAACAGCATTCGGTGAGGCAGGGTTATGCACACCTTGGCTTGCCTGGAGCCCAGGAATAGGTTGGATACGGTGGATGGCTACATGGAGCAAACAAGCACAGCAGGGAGGCAGTTGACTAAATTGTCCATACGTCAAAAGCCAGCAGTAAGATGCACATGATCAACCCCATAACAGAAAGAGCTGGGAACAGTCAGAGAAAGAGGAAATTAACTGAAATCTGAGGTGAGTGTTACAAGGCAGACAAGAGAGGAAGCTGAAGGTAAATTTGTTATACAGTGAATAGTGTGGAGTTTCTGGAGCCAAGGTTAGAAGTCAAAGTTGGAAGGTCAATAGGGATTTGGTCATGGTGAGATGTATTCACAAGGCCAAGAGGCACAGGTCTGTCAAGAGGTATAAGGGAGAGATGTTAATCCAGTTACCTTCGTTAGAATGACCTCTACCCCTTACTCTACTTGACTTCTAGCCTATAACTGGCTTTTCCATTTTTTGTTCCTGATAAAGCCAAAAGTGGCTCTTCTGCCATCACCCTGAGCACCATGATGCCATCTATGTTCTTGCATTCCTGTGTGGACTCACCTTGGAAGAAAAGGATGCCTTCACTCTGGCATTCCCCATGGTGACATTCCACAGCTGCGTCCACTGGGTATGGGATTCCGGGAAATTCTTCTTCGAACAACTTTGGGTATCCATTTTCCTTCTTTTCAGGAGGATATACCCAGACTTTGTCTCCCTGCATTCAAAAGCACCGTTTTGAAAACTGTTCCCCTCCAGACACATTGCATGCACATTCACTTTTGCTCTATTGTGTTTACACGCTATTTCCTTACAGCTATTTCCTTTTCAGTCCGCCGGTGGGGGAAATGTGTTGTCCCTTATACACTACATACGCTCGGCCAACAAAGCCACTTTCCTAGCAATGCATACACATCTGGCTATGTGTAAGCAAACACTCCTGAAACACACTTACTTACAGCACTCTTAGTTTTGGCAGATGCACAAGGAGTTATTATCCAATCACTCATCCTTCCTCGTATACTCGTTTGCGCATTTATTGATGGGTTCATTCTAGAAACACGTACTAAATGACTACTGCAGGCTGGGCAGACACTATGAGCGGCACTGAGTGTCCAAGGGTGACAAGATCCTAGCGGCTACATCCCCAGACGTTCGGCAACCAAGATGAAAAGGCAAAACGCACGTTAAAATATAGAGGGGGTGTCTAATTATGTCTGGGAAAGTCCCAGAAAGTTTCAGAGTGGAAGTATGTGGCCAAAGAGTTGAAAAATGAGTAAGAATTTTCCAGAGGACAGCAGCATAGAGGACCCTAACATGTATCGAATACTCAGAAGAGACTTTGTGTAACCCTATATGACTGGTACACAGTGAACATGGCAGGGAAGGAAGAAAAACAAAGCTGGCTCCCTCAGGCCCATGTGCCCCTGGCATATGGTGCCCAGGTACATGATGGTACCTCTGCTGAAACAGGAAGCACAGAGAAAAGATTGCTTTGTAAGAAAGATGCTAAACTTATTTGGGAGGATGCTGGATTTGAGGTCTCCGTGGGATAGCTCGGCCACAGATTTTTCAACGAGAAAGTGAAAACAGATTTCCAAAGCTTAGGAGAGTGACCCAGATCTGCTATCCAGAGCACAGAACCCTCAAAGCCATGGCAGTGGCTGAAATCACCCGGGAGGGTGCACAAAAAGTCTCAGAGTGGATCCCCAAGTAACAAACATTTTGTAGTGGCTAATTTTATGTCAGCTTCATACAATCTAGAGTCATCTGGAAGGAGGGAAACTTAACTGAGAAAACGCCTCAATAAGATCTGGCTGTAGAGCATTTTCTTAATTAGTGATTGATGGTGGAGGGCCCAGCCCATTGTGGTGCATCTCTCAGCTGGTGGTCTGAGCAAGCCATGAGGAACAAGCCAGTAAGCAGCACTCCTCTATGGCCTCTGCATCAGCTCCTGCTCCAGGTTCCTGCCATGTCCTTCAGTGATGACCACTACTGTGGAAGCGTAAGCTGAATAAAACCCTTCACGCCCCAACTTGCTTTTGGTCATGATGTTTCATCACAGCAACAGTAATCCTAATGAGGACACTGGTTAAAAAGAGAGAGTAGAAAGAGGCAATGAAGGAGAGGAAATGAAGTTGTCATTCAGGAACACCCCAACACATACACACCCTTAGGCAAGTTAGGAGAAGTTATCTCTTCCTATCAGCAGACAATTTGGGCCCAGTTCTGGGGCTTCGTGAACACAAAAGTCACTTGCACACTTGGCCAGGTGCCATTGTATTGGGAACAACTTGCCCCACATATAAACAGGACAAGATACAGGGTCATAGAAGCCAAGGGGGAAAATGAAGTGAGTTAGGAATAGCAAGGCCAGCTAGAACTAGATTAGGAATGAAAAACAGTCATTGGATATTGGCTTTTCCTGCTCTTTCTCTCGCTCTCTCTCACAAGAGCACACACATGAAGACACACACAGGTGTGTGGGGAGAGACTGTGCTTTTTCAGGAAAATAAGGCACAGGAGGAGGAAACTTTGTACCTATCAGCAAGGACCCTGCTATAGTTTGAATGTGTCCTTCAAGGTTATATGTTGGAAAGTTCATTCCCATGCAACAGTGCTCGGAGGTAAGGCCTAATAAGTCATTGTTAGTTCATCAGAGACCTGCCACCCAAATGGCTTAATGTTGTTATTGGTTCAATATGATAATGGGAGTAGTTAGCTATCATAAGAGTAGGTCACTATAAAACCAAGTTTGGATCCTTCCTGCTCTCTCCTGCTTTCTTTCTCTTACCTTGGTGCCATCTTTCTATAGACTATGATGCAGCATGAACCCCCTTGCCAGATACAGCACTATGCCCCTGAGCTTCCCAAACTTCAGAACCATGAGCCAAGTAAAATGCTATTCATTAAAATTATCTAGTATCAGACATTCTGTTACAGTAGCAGAAAATGGACCAAGTCAGGCTCCATGCCAACGATACTCAAGGGAGGGACTCTAATATCGATCCCAGCCCTTTCCAGCCCAGATCTTCTCTTGACCCAGCAGTACCTTGAGCAAGAAGACACTGTCGGGACCTCGACGGAAAGCAGCGTCCACTGAACTGACGGAATTCTTCCACCTCTCTGAGATCAGCTCCCGGATCCCCGAGTGACCCTTCCATACGAACTCCCCTGAAAAACCAACACACTCTGGGATCCAGAACAACCTTTGCAGACTAGGATGGCTTCAAAGAAACGGCTATTGATGGCCCCAGAAAATCCCTGAGCCCACCTACAGATGAAGAACCCTCCAAAGGGATCATGCCCGGAGGTCCAAATATTCCAACCATAGCCTTGTTTTGTTTGCTTGCTTTTTAGGCAGCGTTACCCTTATAGCCTTCAAGACCTAGCCTGGTCTTGAACTTATTAGTCTCCTGCCTCAGGCTTCCCAGTGCTGTAGTTACTAGCATGTACCGACATGCACAGCTTCCCTCCTACCTTTAAAGAACAGCATGGTCCCATTGTGATCCAGGGTAGCAGCACCAAAGCTCCAGCTATCCGAGCAGCGTTCTGGGTTGGGAAAATATCAGTAAGGTGATAAAATGCAGAGACATGGAAGACAGAAAAACTCGGGGAACTGGGGTTCTCACCGGTTACATCTGAGTCTGGCCTGGTCCCATTTTCACCTTCAGCAACATTCCCATGGGCACTAGAGAAAACACAGATAGATATCTGGTTCCATTTGGGTCCTCTTCCTGTTCCTTAGCTCATGCCCTAGGTCCAGAAACTGACCCCATCACACAAAAGCCCAGAGCACAATCCTCTATCCCCAGTTCCAGCTCTACTCACGAAGGAAGAGGGTTGGCAGCAGCTGGGGGCCAGCACAGGCCCAGCAACACCGGGATAACTAGAGCTACCACTGTCCGAGCCATGCTGAGCTGGAAAGGCCACAGGACGGCACTGGGCATGAGGCTGAACTTATATAGAGCTGGTAACAGCGCCACCCCCACTTCCCACCCTATTGGGAAAGATTTGTCTTCCACGACTATGCCAATATTGGCAGATGACCTCACAGCAAATAAGATCAAAGTCTACAAAAGAAACCTAAACCCAAGACTCTCTTCCCGGCAGCAGTCCCCACCCCCTTCAGCAAATTTCCAGCTGTGACTGGCCCACATCCACTGTGACTAGAGGTGCAGGTGCTTCTCAATAAGAACAGGACGAATGGTGAGTTTTCGGGGGCTGAGTTTGTCTCCACAGCAGGAAAGGGAGAAAGAGGAGAGAAGGAACCTTTTTTATGTATCAAATCCAACTCAACTAAACAGAGGGCTACTTACACGCACCTACAACCCCTGCACACAAAATGAACTCCCTCAGAAGTATCCAAGAGAACTTTTTCCAAGCATCAGTCATGGACCATGGAGGCCTTTTCTCAGGGGGAGGGGTTACCCCCAAACCTTTTCAGCTTTATCTCTAGGCTACTGGTTTGGAGATGTCTTACTATTGCCAAATAACCTAAACTCTGTCCCAAGCTCAACCACTGCCAGGGGAAAAAAAAAAAGGTACAAAAGCTTCTGAGGAAAGGCCTGACAGTAACAGGGCCCAAAAAGAAAGGTGTCTCTTCCTTGTGGTCTCTCTCTTAGTTCCAACTATGGGGGAACGCACCTTATTGACCTATCACAGAGCACACCAAACTGTAACTAGGATTGCACAATATTTACAAATGATTTCTACTTGTTACCTTCTCCATATACGCTTTCTTGACCAGCTTTTTTGACCTCTCAGCCTCTGCTTTCCTTATGTCACCTACTGAAATTTGAAACAGTTTCCCCAGCTACTATCTGATTGCTTTTTGTTAGTTTTGTTTCGTAAGCAATCCAGGGTTTTCCACAGGTTAGGCAAGTGCTCTACCATTCCCAGTCCTGTTCTTGTTTCGTATTCATGGTGCTGACTTGTTTTTCCTCTTATCATTAAATTTCTGAGAATTCCCCTCTTCTGAAGTAAGTGGCTATTGTTAATGGGGTGTCTCACGACACACTGAACTCTGGAGGCCACATTTGTCACCGCCCTCCATCTGGTGGTCCTGTTCCTCCCCCAAATGTTTCAGTCCCATACCTTTCTCCTTCCTGAGATTGTCCCTGTCATTTCCAGTACCTTCTATTCTCAGAACTGGCTGGGACCACTCCCAGAACCTGCCTCATTTCCATGCCAGCTCAGCAGAGAACTGTAGCTAGTACCAGCTTTGCTGTAGCTGAGTCTCCCAAACCTCTGCTCCTTAATGATCTTTCTTAGGTGGTCTTGTGGTCCTTACATCCCTCTACACAACCTTGGCAAGAGCCTGAGAAAGCCTTTCCTTTATAAAGTGTTGAGACTGGACTGGGTGGCATGATCACACTGAGCATTGCTCTGCCACTGAGCTGTTCCTCTTGACCAAGATCCCCTTTCCAATCTGCAAAAATCCTCCTAGTAGAAAACCAAAGCTCCAGGACCTCCACAGCATGTCACCAGGCTTCGGCCATCACACACATGTCCCTTCCTGGCTAAAAATGAACATGTGTTGTCAGTGTCACTTCTTCCTTATGGGTCAGTGGGCAAAGCTAGATTTCTAAAGGACAAAGGACACTCCTACAACTGAGGCCGGACACACATATTCTCCCGTCGCAAGGTATCTCTGGGTGCATCTGCACTGGTAGCAGATACTCCTAGACTCTTTTCTTTTCTTTTCTTTTCTTTTCTTTTCTTTTCTTTTCTTTTCTTTTCTTTTCTTTTCTTTTCTTTTCTTTTCTTTTCTTTTCTTTAGGGCTCTAATACCTATAACTTTCTGGAATCCATTACTAACTTGTCGGCCATTCTCCCTCTGCCTAGAAGAGTCCTCTACAGAGAAACAGCATGTGGGTTAGAGATGACTCAGTGGTCAAAGCACTCACTTTTCTTCTAAAGGCCCTGATTTCAATTCCCAGCAACCCGCATGACAGCTCACAACTATCTGATGCCACCTTCTGGCATGAAGATGTACATGCAGACAGAGTACCCGTATACAGAAAATACAGACATACTAAATCTAAAATGATAAATAAAATGCAGAGAGGGAGAGAAGTGGTACAGATTCACTGGGCTGTGAATTTGGTGCTGGTCACAGGTCCTAAGTCACAAGTTACCTCTTCTCAAGCACACAACACAGCACTGACCTTAATTTTATTCCTCTCACCTAAGAGGCCACCTGTGCTCTGCCTCAGTCCATCCAGTCCTCCTGCCTGGACCAAAAAGCTCATTCATAGCTATGCACAGGCACCCCTGGAGACCACAGCACACTCACAGCATTCCCTCCCCTGAACTGGCTTTTTCCAGCCTTCCCTCTCACTCCTCCTAACCCCTAGCTATGTGGACTTAGGGGTACACCCTCCCCTTTGATCTTTTCCTGTCCTCTGTAAACCTCCACTAATCAGAGAGGGCAGAGAGACCTCAGCGCACCTTGACTTCCAGGGAAATTCAAGCTCTGAAAAATACAGCCACTTGCTTTTTGGTGCAGTCTTCTCAGTTTTCCCAACCAACAGCTTGCTTACTTCCTCCAGGAAAGACCAGCAAAAGTTTTAATGACTAGAACATCCTCTGGCCGTACAAGACTATAATTTAAGCTGAACATTGACCTCATTATCCTTTGAGATAGGCATGTCCAACCTGCCTTAGAACTAATGTGACTTCAGTCATTCCTCCTGGGACCACTGAGTACTGGCTGTGCTGGACCTGATGCCTTCGCTGTGTTCTCCAGAGCACAGACTGGATTCTCCCTCTCCTGTGGCTTGAAGGCTTAGCAGCTAAAAAGAGCTCACTGCTCCCAACCAACCCTTCCAGAAAAAGCACTTTCTCTTGCTTTATAATGGATCTTCGGAATAGTTCGATAGTCTGAATAGTACAGGTTTTTTTTTTTATTTATATGTATGTGTGCCTGCTTGTCTGTATATATAACCGTATGCATGCAGATGCCTAGGGAGGTCAGAGAGTGGCGCTGGAACCCTGGAACTGTAGTTACAGGCAGTTGTAAACATCTGGATATGGGTGTGGGAACTACACTCTGGTCCTTTGAGATATCTCCCCTGACCCTAAACAGCCCATTCTTGTCTCCTTTGTGTAGAAAATAACTTATTCACATCTACTAGGCACCTGTGTCTGCTGTCCTACTGAGCACTTACTGAGATTTCATTTAATATATGTCATTTTGATCCTGTGGTTTGAATGTGTTTGTCCTCTCCAAATTCATGTACTGGAAGCTTATTTTCCAATGAATGAGGCAGAGGCAGGAGTTGGGGCCTGTGGGGAATGCAGCTATAAAGGGAGCATGGAGACACAGGCTCTCCCTCTCTTCTGCCCCGTGAAGAGCAGTCCCTCACCAGGCTCCGCACACACTGGCACCCTGAGCTTGGCCTTCCTAGGCTCCAGACCTGTGAGAAATACATTTCTTTGGGTGTTTTGTTTTAGCTGCATAAATGGGGGAGGCAGAACTGTTTGCCCTATTTTATGATTGAGGAAAACGTGAGGAATCTCAACCAAATCGCTTTGTTAGCAACTGATGGAGCCCTGACTTCAACTATGGCTTCTTGATCCTAGCGTGTGCTCCTAAGTTTATGGAGAGCCATGCTGGTCAATATTTAACAGCTGTTATCTAGGGGGTTCTGCATGGTCTCCTACCCGAGAGGCGTAAAGAAACACAGGACACCATAACGGTAGAGTAAGTAGTAACGGATGCTTTTGAGTATTCCTCAGCTTTGATTTTTTGAAAAGGATTTACCTATTTAACATTCTTTAGAGACAGTTTTGTAGCTCATGCTGGCCTCAAGTTCATGATCCTCAGGCTTTAGCCTCCTGAGTACTAAGCTAACAGGTTAGTTTTGTTGTTTATTTTTGTTTTGTTGGTGGTTTTCTGTTATTTTTGTTTCTTTTTGAGACAGGGCTTCTCTGTGTATCCTGGGCTGTCCTGAACTCACTAGACCAGGCTGGCCTCGCTCTCACAGAGATCCACCTGCCTCTGCCTCCCTGGATGCTGGGATCACAAGTGTGTGCCACCTCACTAGGCTTTTTCTTTTTTGGAGGGAGGGTGGGGGTTCAAGACACAGTTTCTCTGTGCAGTCCTGGTTGTTTCAGAATGCTGGCCTCAAACTCAGGGACTCACCTGCCTTTGCCTCCTGAGTGCCAGGATAACAGGCATGTGCCACCACGCCCAGCAGCTCACATGCTTATGATCACAGATCCCAGAGAAACCTAGGTGTTCATCAGCATGGAAAAGTTACAAAAACTTCTGCTAGTACATATTAAAAAAACCTGTATGTACCCTGAGGGGCGGGGGTGGGGTGAACTGAAGAAATAGCTGAGCATGGTGGCACACACCTTTAATTCCAGCACTCAACAGGCAGCATCAGGAAGACGTGAGTTTGAAGCCAGCCTGGCCTATAGAGGAAGTTATGGTGCACGGCTGCAATTTAATAATGGCTGGCTTTTAGCAATCAGGTCTCAAAGTACCTGATAATCAGTTCTCACTAGGCAGAAATGAAAGAACTGCAGAATCCACTAGACACCATAGTATCTAGTTGTACAAAGAACTTTTCTTTTGGTATCAAATATGGAATATAACATGAGGCAAGCATTCTACCACGGAGCTATATAACCCCAGCCCCAGATGAGGGTTTTATCTGCTTTTTTCTTCTTCTTCAGCACATGGAACAATGCCCATAATACTGTATTACATAAATAATAAATCCTGTGAGTTCTGCTTTCTAATTATACATGAAATCTGTATATTCCTGGCCCTTTAATAGTGCAAGAATAACGTTTTCTCAGCTGCCCACTGAGATAGCTTCCCCGCTTCTTCTGTTCCTCTGTAATCAGTCTGCCCCTATATGTCAGTTTTCATTACCATGGTGATCTCCAAAAGAATACTGAGGTTAGCTTGAAAGACTTATTATATATTCCAGTTTCGTCACACCCCACCCCTCTTTTTGGGGGGACAGGCTGGCCTGCAACTTGCTATGTGGACTACACTATCAAATTCATAGAGATCCAACTGCTCTGCCTCCCAAGCACAAGGATTAAAGGAATGTGCTACCGTGCCTGGATCTTTTCTCATTCTTAAAATATCCTCCTTAAAAACAAGGATCCACAAGGAGAGCAACAGAACCAGAAAATTTGAACACAGGGAACTTCCCAGAGACTCATACTCCAACCAAGGACTATTCATGGAGATAACCTAGAACCCCTGCACAGATGTAGCCCATGGCAGGTCAGTGTCCAAGTGGGTTACATAGTAATGGGAAGAGGAACTGCCTCTGATATATTCTGATTGGCCTGTTCTTTGATCACCTCCTCCTGAGGGGAGAGCAGCCTTACCAGGCCACAGAAGATGACAATGCAGTCACTCCTGAAAGACTAAGATCAGAAGGAGAGGAGGACCTCCCCTTTCAGTGGACTTGGGGAGGGGCATGAGTGAAGAAGGGGGAGGGAGGGTGGGATCGGGAGGGGAGGAGGGAGGGGCTTATGGGGGATACAAAGTGAATAAAGTGTAATTAATAAAAATAAATAAATTTAATTATTAAAAAACAAACAAGGATCCAATTGATGGAAACTTTTCTTTTACAAAGACCTCATACATCAGCATTTTTTGTTTGTTTGTTTGTTTGTTTGTTTGTAGACAGGGTCTGGCTGGGTGGTGGTGGCAAACACCTTTAATCCCAGAACTTGGAAGGCAGAAGCAGGCAGATTTCTTCGAGTTCCAAGCCAGTTTGGTCTACAGAACAAGGTCCAGGACAGCCAGGGCTACACAAGAAAACTGACTTGAAAAACAAAACAGAACAAAATAAACAAAAAAGACAGTGTCTGGCTATATGGCCTGGTACTCAAAGTGTAGCCCAGATCGGCCTAAGACTTAAAGCAATCTGCCCACTTCAGCAACCCACATGCTGAGGGCTCAGACTTGTAAACGCAAGACTATCCAATGCTTGCTTTCGTCTTTTTGGGACAGAGTCTACATACTGGAACTCCCTATAGTAGACCAGGCTGGCTTGAAGCCTGAGTGCTGAAATTAAAGGTATGTACCACCATGCCCACCATGCCCAGCTATCTCTCCAGTTGTTATGTTTCCTTTTTTTTAAGGTGCAAATATGGTTTAAAAATATGTATCGGCAAAATGTTTATGTAACTCTTCTGTGCTGATGGACACCTAAGTTTCTCTGTAATCTGTTTTCTATTTAAAAGCTGTGCTAAACATTTGGCAAACACACTCTTTGCATTTGTCCAGTTCTCCCCTACACTACATTCCTAGAACTGGAAGGCAACAGATATTTTTAAAGTACCCAGTCTTCAACAGAAGTGGTTTAGAGATGTCAATCACTTTCTTTCTCACTGATATTCTCTTCCCACAGCACTGCCCAGTCATCAGTTCATGAGCCCTATTGCTTAAGTTCTCCAGTGGTTTGCTGTTACACTTGGACCTAGATTTGGCCTTAATTTGAATCATCCAACTCAGCTCTTAGTCTTCAAACTGATCCTTTTCCTCTCTCCAACCACCTCCTTTCTGAAGCCACTTTGGCCTCCTTCAGATTCCAAAGCCATCAAGACCACTGCTGTAAGGAAATCTCTGCTTCCTTTTCTTAACATGGCTAATCCCTTATCAATTCTTTGATTCTTCAGCAGGCTGCTGACTAAAAGAGGCTTTCCCAGTTTACCCTATTTAACACTATTTCTGTCCTTGTACTTTATTTTTTTTCTCTTCATACTTGAACTCAAGTTGTCATTACACGTTTAGTTCTTTGTCTCTTTTCCCACTAAACTGTAACCTCCATACGGACAGGTCTTGTTCTCCTGGGGCCCATGGGTCTTTCTGACCCATTGTTCCAGGTAGTAAGTGTCCAGTAAATCTTTAATGGATGGATGAGCCTGTGGTTTACACATGGCCATAGAGCAATGGTTCTCAACCTGTGGGTCACAACTGCTTTGGAGGCTGCAGATCAGATATGTACACACTGCAAGTCACAACAGTAGGAAAATTACGGCTATAAGTTAGCAACAAAATCATCTTATGTTTGGAGGGTCACCACAAATGAGGAACTGTATTAAAGGATTGCAACATCAGGACAGCTGAGAACCATGGAGGATCACTGAACAAGCAGACCTTGAGTACACTCAGGACCACAAAATAACTTTCTGATCTGTCCTGACAATGGGCTTGTAGCAATGCCCCATGTATGTGAAGCTCATTTGAGACGCACCAATTGAATCATGACAGGGCCTCCACAGTCAGAAGTCATTTGTACCTACCTGGAGCAGCACTAGATAGGAAATGCCTGGGGTGATGGATCTAGGAACTTAGTGGCTTCCCTTTGAGACACCTCTTGCATGGCGTAGGAAGCCTGCCTAATCTAGAAACCAGCTCTAGAGTCCTGCTCTCTGACTGGCAGAGGAACTACTAGGACTTCCCAGCCAAGGAAAGTCACCTACTGTCACTTTATTTCCCTCGTTTGCTTTTTAGGCATTCCAAAGGAGATTGAAGAATGGGAGTCGGAGCTCCATTGGGCATCCCAGCTGGTGCTTTGCTTGGCGTGGAAGGAAGGACTAGAGTCTGCCGACACGGAGCCCACTGCCTCTGTAGGTCAATGCAGGGAGTGAGGCAGCACTGCTCATAATCAGAGCCAGGGGAGGCCCGGAGAGCACTGCCCTCCAGCTCCAGGCAATGTGTCCCCCACCTGCCTGCCAGTTCTCCACCAATGGTGAAGGAGAGGACCAGAGAGGCAAGCACAAGCAAGCAGCACACCCTGACCTCTACAAAGATCTCATGATGTTGATCATGCCTCCTATCCAAGACCCAGGAATTATGCAATATTAGACAGGTCTCTTATCTCTCCCACAACCTCTCATGACCAACCTTCCAAGATGCACTATTCAAATCTTGTGCTAGGTGCAAGAGCACAGGGTAAAAGACACTGTTACAGCTATAGCTCCAACTCTGTTCTCTTCAGTCAGCAATGGGCTCTATTTCCCTGAGCTTCAGTCTCTAGTAGAGAAAAGAGAATTTGTAGCTCCCACCTCCCGGGTCACTGAATACTGTTTTAATTATCTCTGGGATTAGCAGTTCTACCCAGAAATACTAGAGGTCTGGAATGCAATGTGAAAGACTCCATCCCACTGTGGGGAAAGGGCAGCAACCTTGGAACACAGCAATGGAAAGGGTGAGGGGTTTAGGGCTTTGGGAATGACCTCTACCAGTTACCATGGAGTCTCTTCCATCCAGCCTACTTGGACAAGCCTCAGGGAATGCTCTCATGGCTAAACCCTGTTCTCCCCGCAGCTGTGGCTGTATACTGGATGAGAGCCATCCTTTCCTACTTTGTAGCCCCAAGAGAGTGGCTGTCTATATCTACAGAGCGTAGAGACACAGGGCCTGGGAATGAGGAACTGGCAAGCGGCTCAGGCTTCGGGAGGCGCACTCGCTTTAGTCCCTCACCTGGCACTGGTGGAGGATACGCTGCTGGGCTTCACGGAGAGCAGCAGGTGGGTATGCGCAAGATACATTGTATACATGTGTGAAACTGTCAAAGAATAGTAAAAAATGTTCTTCAGGGGCTAGAGAGAAGGCTCAGCAGTTAAGAACCCTGTTTGTTCTTGCAGAGGACCTGGGTTTGGTTCCCAGTACCTACATGGTGACTCACAGCCGTCTCTAACTCCAGATTCAGGGATAGGCACTGCAAGGATGTGGTACCCAGACATGCAAACACAACGCTCATATTAATAAAGTCAAATAAACAAAAATTAAAAATATTCCTTAAAATTTTCACCACTTGTAGAGGCTGTGTCCTTTGCCTGTCTTTTTGACACTTTTTAGTCCACAGGAGATACCAACACTTCACCCTTCAGAGATCCACACCACAAGAACCTAGCAAAAACACCTTGGCGAACACATTTATTTAATATGGTGTGGGGTATTGCTGTCTCTGTCAGTGTGTCTGGAGTGGTAGGGAGACAACCAGAGGGACTTCTGAAGCAAGAGGCTGTTCTGGCCCCAGGCTGGGGGTCAGAGAGCAGACTGAGGGTGTGAGGGGTGTGTAACTGGGTTAGGGTGAAGCTCTGCACACATCCTCAGGACCAGTATAGGCCCACCCAGTCACCAAAGCAAGAACCGAATAAATAAAGTGCAACCGTGGGTTGGGGAGGAAGAAAAGGGCACTGGGCATGCCCACAGCCCACATTCAGTGCTGCCAGGTCTGGCCCACCTCTTAGCCAGACCCTCTTGTCCAATCACCCCTATGTCTGTCCCTCCATGAGCTGAGCAGGGCCCTTGTGCAGCTACTGGAGGTAGCGATAGGCCTTAAAGCAGTGGTTGCCAGCATCAGCCACTACCACGTGGCCATCCGAGGTCAATGCCAAGCCCTGTGGGCCATATAGTGGCTCTGCAGACGTGTTGATATAGGACAGGAAGGAACCAGAGCTGTCGAATACCTGGGAAAGAAGTGGAGAATGGAAGCAGAAGTAAAGTCAGGCAGAGAAGAGGCTGTTTGGGGAGGGACAGAGGCACAGAAGAAGCCTCACTCTCAAATCATCCCTGGGCCTTACTCACCTGGATTCGGCTGTTGCCCCAGTCGGCCACAATGATGTTCCCGTTGGAATCCACAGCTACTCCCGTGGGGGCATTGAACTGTCCATTGCCCTCGCCATGCGAGCCAAATTTGAAGAGGAACTCTCCATCAGCATTGTACACCTGGCAGGGGAAGGGGCTAGGGACTGGGGGCCTGTCCTCAGACAGAGGGCAAGGCCTTGGGGAGTGGGGGGATGAAACTCCAGGGAGAATTCCCAGCTCTGCATCTTAGCTCAGAAATTCTTTCCAGGGATCACATGCTGTATCCCACTGCCCATCAGACATTCCAGCTGATGTTTCCCGGGGAGAGTATAGTTTCCATCTCTCTATTTCAATACTGCTACCACCCTGCTGGCATGAATCCTCCTCCATTCTCACCTTCTAAGCTTGACAGCAAACCAATGAACACACCCCTGACTCTGGCTCAGGTCTGTCTTTCATATATATACTGCTATGCCTGTCTCAAGGTCCAGGCTCCCATCACTTCTTATCTAGATGACTGCCTTTAGCACTGCCCTCGTCAGAGTGACATTTCTGAGATGCACAGGGGTTCACCATACCCCTGCTGCAATTCCTCAAGCTCTCCCCACAGCTCTTTGAGAGGCAGCCTCTGCAGAGGGCACACAGTTCTCAACCTTACCTTCCATCACTATACCAAGTCTGAACTACCCATGGCTTCCAGAGCCCCATAAAGGATGCCGACTTCCATTTAGGTCTTTTCCTGTGTCTTTTTGTTTGTTTGTTTTTAAATACAGGATATCGTTTATCTCAGGCAGTCCTTGAATTCACCATGTAGACAAAGGTGACCTTGAATGAACTGCTGACCTTTTTGCCTCCATCTCCAAGTGCTGACAATACTGGTGTGTATCAGCACACCTGTCCTCTTCTGTGTCCTTTGCCTCAAAGCCCCTCCTTCTCCTCTATTCATTTAGTTAACTCCACTGGTGTTCCAGGTCTTCCCCTTTATCAAAGCCCTCTGCTCATCCCACCCACAGGTTCCTGTACCTATTCCAGAATCTATGACCTCACATTGTAATTTCCTGCTCATCTTCTCTTCCCTGATAGACTTAGCCAAGAAGACAGGGAATGTGCTTGCTTTGCTTAGACTGAATCCCCAGCTTCTAGCATAGTGCCTGGGACAAAGCAGCCAAGACATAAATGTTTATTGGTTCATTGAAGGGCTTCAAAGGGGCTTGGGAGGAGAGGGAAGGGAGAATTGAAGAGGAAGGGTCACTGGGACAGTGATCATGGAGGAAAGGAGGACACTGACCTTCACTGAATGATTATGGAAATCCGTTACTACGATCTCATTCTTGTTGTTCACAGCCACAAAGTGGGGCCCTGAAATTAGAAAGTGGGTCTTAAAGCATTACACTGAGGTGCTCAGTCAGCAGAGGGACTGGAGCTCTGGGCAGGGTGAGACAGATACCCTGTCTCTGGGAGAATGGAACTACGTGTTGGGAAAGGGGAATCAGGGTCAAGACACCGAAGGGGTCTTTACAACTGGAGGATCCTGGGACATTCTAGGGAACTGAGTACCACAGTCTGGAACTTGGGGTTGTTCTCTCAAACCTGCAAAGTGGCGGTCAGTGGCCCCACGGCCTCCAAAACGCCCAACCAGCTTGCCGTTGGGCTGGAAGGTAAAGACACAGCAAGACTTGTTGTCCACCACAATGATGTGTCCATTCCGGTCCACAGCTACTCCCTTGGGTCCCATGAGGCGGCCAGCTCCAATCTTGGTCTGTAGGAAGGACACCCCACAAGGGTACAGTAGGGGGTAAAGCCCTGGCCTGGTATCAAAGCAGAACTGTGCACTGGCGGTAGACTACCTCAGGCCCTGGCCTGGTCGTATGGTCAGCTGAGCAGATCACCCGGGGTTCAGAGCATAGCAACAGCAAGCACCTCACCTTGAACTTGCCCTCAGGTGAGAAGATGCTGACCCAACGGTTGTCATAGTCTGCCACAATAATGTCTCCATTGGTGTCAACTGCCACACCTGTGGGACGCTGGAGTTGCCCCGGTGAGCGCCCGCGGACCCCAAATCTGAACTTGAACTGGCCCTCATTGGAGAAAACCTGGAGCAGAGGAACAAGGTAGGGAGCAGGGAGGTGGGGGAGAACACTGTGGGTACAGAGGAAAGGGAGCTAGGTCCTAGCAAGATCCCATTTAGTCAGTCACTCAACAATCACTTGCTGACACAATGCCAGGGGTACAGAGCAATCACGTGAGAGCTACCTTAGAGGACATGAAGTAAAGGTGTGAGGGGGAGTATGAAAACACAAGAGGGACCAAGGGTATGGTGGGAAAAGGTACCAAGAGAGGGAGATATATGAGCTGACAGCCAATGAAGATATCAATTGATGAACCAGCAGAAACAATCTGTGAAAGGTACAGAGTCTAGCTAGCATGAGCCCTGTTTGAGGGCCTCACCATTGTAGCTGGAGTCATCAACATGAATTACATTTTACCCTGGCTATAATGAGGAGCCACTAAAAATTTATGGCTAGAGAAATGACAAGATCAGAGCTCCTTTTACAGAAATATTCTAACAGGAAGAAGTCAGAACTAGAAGCTACCCAACCAGTTAGAAACTGTAGAAGGAATCCAGATGAGAAACAATGATGGTTTAAACCAAGGAAACAATCTAAGAGGAAAGCAGAAGGATTCAAGAGAAACACAGGAGAAAGACAACACAATTTTACAGCCAACTAGAAAGCGATATGTAATAAAAAGAGAAAGTCAACAAAAATTCTTCCATTAAGATTATGGGCTGATAAAGCCACCTTTCTTCTGAATAGAATTAATCTTTTTCTTTTTACTTTTAAGGTTTTTCTCTCTTTTTATTTTTTTAATTGTAATTATTATTACTTATTACAATTTATTCACTTTGTATCCCAGCTGTGGCCCCGTCCCTCGTCCCTCATCTCCTACCAATCTCACCCTCCCTCCCTCCTCTTCTCCCATGCCCCTCCCCTAGTCCACAGAAGGCGAGGACCTCCTCCCCTTCTATCTGACTCTAGCCTATCAGGTCTCATCAGGACTGGCTGCACAGCCTTCCTCTGTGGCCTGGTGAGGCTGTACTCCCCCCCCTCCCAGGGGGAGGTGATCATTGAGCCTACCAATGAGTTCATGTCAGAGACAGACACCGCTCCCCTTACTAGGGCCCCCACTTGGAGATTGAGTCTATGGGCTACATCTGAACAGGGGTTTTAGGTCCTCTCCATACATGGCCCTAATGTGTATGCATGTTTTGCCTGCAAGCAACTCCGTAGATCACCAGTGCAGGTATTCATGAAGGCCAGAAGAGGGCACCAGATCCCCTGAAATTGTGAACTGCTATGTGGCTGCTGGGACTCAAACCCTTGTCCTCTGAAAGAGCAGCTAGTGCTCTTAACTGCTGAGCCAACTCTCCAGTCCCCCAGAATGCATCTTTCAATCTCCCCTTCTCCTATTCCTATACCTTAGCTTCCCAAGGTACTGAGCCTGCTTTGTCCTGAAGTGTCTCTTTTAATCTTTCCTCTTAAACTCAACAGCTCCATTACTCATTGCCTAAATCTCATACACTCCAGTTTGTTACGGCCTCTGGGGATACAGGAGGGATCAGAGCCAAGAAGCCACCACAGACAGCTCAGGTTTCTGAGCCTTTGGCTTCATATTCAGCTCAGCCCTGCTCTCTCTTTAGTGTACTGGGCTGAACCGCACAGGTCTCTCAGTCCTGTTCTACCACAGCACATCACTCCTCCTGACAGGGACCTGGTAGCAGCAAGTCCTCACCTAGTCAGCCAGCACAGCACCTGGATTCTGCACTGGTCCTATGCAAAGTCAGAATTGTCAGTGGGAGAAAGGAGTGCCATAGGGTAAGGAATGGAAATGAGGGGGATTAAAAGGAACAGCTACAGGAGTTTTCTGGACCTCGTTTGGCCCCTATATCTCTCTCCTCTACCATGGTAGCATTAAGTAGATCTCTGACTTCAATGATCTCAATGTAAAAATGACAACAAAAAGACAAAACGTCAGACAAAAATAATAAATCAACCCAGAAAAGGGAAAGTGTAAAAAGTACCACAGCAAATAGCTGAGGAAGGTCAGAGAAGAATGTGATCAGCATGCCACATTAAGGGGAAGAGGATGTT